CCTGGGGCTCCCCGTTTGGCAGGAGCCCCGTGTGAAGGCCCCGTGCTCTGCCCCGGCCCGGTCTGCACGCGGTGGGACCTGCTTTCCCGCCCGGCCTGTGCCGCCTCCGGACGAGCATGTCCTCTGGCACCCCGGGCGGGCGGAGGCCTTTGTCATTTATTTGGTGTCAAAGTGAAACAAACCTTCGAAGAAAGGCCGAAGATTAGGAAGACTGTTCATTGTAATCACTGAACTTGAGACGGAGCCAAAGTGGGTTTCATGCCAGAAAAGAGGGCGAAAACCTTAGCAGACCCGTGACGTGTGCGGTGACTCACGGCCGGTGGAGCGGGTGAGCCCTGCCCGGGCGCGGCCCTCTGCCTCCTGGGTGATCCCTGCCTCGCTCTTAAAGAGGCCGCGGCCACTCGCCCAGCGGCCGCTCAGCCCTGCTGCGCCCGCGGCCCGGTCCGACTCTGTGCGGCCGCTGGGCCCGGACGGGTGGCGTGGGCCCCGAGGGCCCCTCCCCGCCCGCTGCCCGGCACTGGGGACCGACGGGGGAGCCCTCCTGAAAGTCAGCGGCGTCTCTGCAGCTGCCACAGCACCCCTCAGGGCGGGCCGGGACAGAGGCCCTCTCTGTGCCCCCTCCCTCCCCCTGGCGTCTCGGTTTCCTGCCTGTCCGCCCGCCCGCCCGCCCGCCCGCCCGGAGATGGCAGGAACGCGGCGAGCGCCAGCGCCCGCTTGATGGACGTGGCAGCTGCTGCGGCCGCCCCAGCGGCTCGGGGCCGCCCTTGGGGAGCCCAGCAGCTGGGGACACATGGCGGCCGTTCCCAGGGATCCTGTGTCACGGGGGACGGGCCCGGCCACGCCGCCAGGGCTCCCGAAGGCGCTGCCTCGCGCTTGTTCAAACCCCCGCGGCCTTGGCAGCCTCGCACTCGTTCCTGGAAAATTAGACGAGAGTTCCAGAGGTTCTCAGAAAAGGGGATGATTTACGGGCCGTCCCGCGCCGGCTCCGCGCGGTTAGATTTATCTCCAAGTTTTCGGAGGAGCGCGCTCCCCAGGCCCCTCCGCGCGGTGCTCCGCCTCGCTGCGCCCCGATGGCTGCGGCCGGGCCGGGCCGGGCCGGGCCGGGCCTCCCTGACGTGTGCCGTTTTTCATGGGCCCAGAAGCACCAAAATTGGTGCAGCATGAAATTACCCTGTTTTTTCTGCCGCGGAGCCGGAGCCGGCGGGCTGGCGCGGGGGAGGGGCCGGCCACTTCCTCGCCTGGGCGGCTTCGTGAGGAGGGGCCTTTGTTCTGGGGCCTGGGGGAGCCCTGGCCCTGCCTGTCCCCCCAGTGTCCCTGCTGGTGGTGGAAGAGCGTTCGCGGCGGGCGGGCTGGGGTGGGGGCCTCGGGACGGGCCGCCCTGCGGGCCGGCGCCTGGTCCCGGGGCGGGTGGGTGGCCGCCCCCAGGCCGGGGTTTGAGTGAGCGCCGCCAGGTGCCAGACGAGGCCGGGGCCAGGGAGGCCGCTCTGCGCCGCAGACAGATTCCTGGGGCTCGTGTGTCCTGTGCGAGGCTGACAGGGACAACTGGCGAGTGAGGTCGCTGGGAGCGGATCGTAACTCTGAAGCAGATACAACAGGGCGGCGGGAGCGCGTGGCCGAGCTGGGCCAGGAGGTCAGGGAGGCCTCCCCGGGGAGTGCCCCGAGCCGGGGTGGCGCCCAGGCAGGACCGGGCAGGGCTCCCGCAGGGGCCCAGCTGGGGAGGAGTCTGGGTTTTCGTCAAGTAGAAACGGGAGATGGCGGCGGGGGAGGGGAGTTATAAATAGAGGCCCGCAGCCCTCGCCTGCAATTTTAAAATCCGAAAGGCCCCGAGCTGAGAGGTTTTTTCCATTGCTCATGTCAGGGCAGAGGCCACCCCCTGCCCAGAGCCGGCCGGCTGGGCTCGGCCGAGCGCCCGCGGGACCCCGCTATCTCCCTGCGCCCGCCCGAGCCGCTCCTCACCCCCAACCGCAGGGCGCCCCCGGGGTCCCGCCGCGGGATTAGGCGCGCCTGGGAGCGGCGGTGAAGAAAAGCCACATTCATTATCCTCCCGAGAGAGAGCGCAGGAGCTGGGAAAGACACAGCCCAGGCCCCGCCGGCAGAACGGGGAGCCCACGCCGGGCCTGCGGATTCCCAAACACGCCTTCAAATATTTACTTTTACTTTTAGAATTCTCCCCCGCCCGCCCCCGCTTTCAGAACTGGAAACGTGTCCACTCCTTTCCAGAAGCAAAAACGTCCTAGAAACGGTCCTTGGGACCCTGCCCGCCTCCGCAGGCCGGGCTGCCAGGTGGGCGCGGGACCCCACATTCCTGCAGAATGGAGTCTATCTCCCCGTCCCCCGGGGGCTCGTTGCAGAAGCCCCGCCCCGCCCCAGGGTTCCGCACGCTGTTGCTGTTGGCTCCGGGTCAGGTTCCGATCCGGGGCCTTCAGCCGGGAACTGGCCCCTCGCTCGGGCCCTGGCAGAATGCGGCCTGTGTGCCCCTGCCAGCCCCCCGCCCGCTTTTGTAAATAAAGTTTTATTGGAACTCAGCCACGCTCATTCCTTGACGCCCGTGGCTGCTCGGTGGCCACGTCAGCACAGCTTGGGGCTGTCTAACCCTTGAGTTTTTTTCAGAAGTTTTCCAAGGGCCGTTTCAGAGCCGCGATTGCTCGAAGGCGTCTCCTGCGTGGCCCGGGGCCAAGGCGGCCTCCCTGGACGGGCTCCTCTCCTCTTCTTGGGGGGGGGGGGGGGGGCGGGCTCAGCCTCGGAGGAGATGCTCTGCTGATTGCATGCAGCTGTGGGTTTTGTGCTGGGAGCCCCGACATCTGGATTCCGCCAACGTTTTGGCAGCGCCCTGAGTAGCTGGGGGGTGACATCATCCCTCACAGGCGATTTGGGATCAGTCTGTGGAAATGAACACCATTCCCAGCGTCTCTCGCTGGTGTGTGTGTGTGTGTGTGGTGTGCCGTTTTCTTTCTTTCTCTTTGCAGAGTGATTCTGTCGTTCTTTCCTTGTTCACCTTACACACCCCTCCTGGGACAAAGGGACCTTGCCGCCAGACTCCGTGTCCTTCACAGTCTGTGGGGCGGTCGCTTCTGCTGCCGCTGCGCTCACCTCGGGGCGCGGGGGGGAGCGGGCACGGGGAGCACGCGGCTTTGAGCCGGCCCCTTACCTGGCGTGGTTTGCCGGGGAGCTAAGAGAGCTGAATGGAGCAGCAGCCGCTCTCCCATGGGGCGTTGCGGGAGGGAGGTCGGCCACTGGCACCGCTGGCTGAGGGCTGCTTGCGGCTGATTCCAGTGAGCGGACCTTCTGTAACACGTGTGGGTGTTCTGGGCTCGAGGCATTTTCCTTTACACCAGGGAGCGGGGTCTCGGGGGCAGATGGACCCTGGGCCTCCCTCCTCTGGTTGACGGACCCTAAAGGGCTGCTCCCGGAGCCTGGTCGGGGGTCAGGAGGGAAGGACAAGGAAGGGCCCTGTCGTGGGGCTGGTGTGGACGCGCTCCGTGAACAGGCGGCACAGAACTGCCTCGGCTCCTCTGTTTCCCTCGATCCAATCGTGCGGTCCGGGCAGTTGCCCGGGGCCGAGTGGACTCATGGAGGGAGGGGAACTGGGGGCACCGGGCACCTGGGCAGGGCCCGCCGGGTGGGGAGAACAGGCTGCGGGAGGCCTGTCTGGCGAGAAAGCCTGGAAAATCTCAAGTGGCCCCCGTCTCCCGCCCCTGCCGTCCTCCAGACGTCGGGAAGCCCGTCAGACCACAGCCACCCATCACACAGTTTACACCAGCTTTCGCTGTCGACAGGAGCCACGGGCCCAGCCTCCAGCCCATGTCAGTGACCTTGCGAGGCCTGCCGCCTCCCATGGAGCGAGAGGGCTCAGGACACGCGGCCTCGACGGCGCGGCGTGCCTGTGACCAGGTCTCCGAGTGCGGGCCTCGCCAGCGTGGCCTGTGGGCTCCTGTCCTCCCTCCGGGGCTCCTGAGACAGCCCCCCGGGGAACGGGGCGGGCGACTGGGGCTGGTTGGTGTTTCCCACCTCGAGCGTCCAGGCCCTCGTCTCCTGGAGTGACAGCTACCCCCGCTCTGCGGCTCTTGGTTGTGAGTCACCAATTCCTCGATCTGAGTTTTCGGTTGGCCTGTTCCTCTCCCAGGAAGTTACATCCCTCCTGAAGCCCTGGGTGTAGTTAGAAACCTGAAGCACTGAAGAGTCGATTTTTTCCTCGCAGGAGCTGGAGAGGAGCCCGCCCGGGAGGGTCAGGGTGGAGTTGGGAGCAGAGCGACATGGGGCAGCAGGTGGGTGGGGCAGCCCCCCCCCCCCCCCCCCGGCCTCGCCGCGGCCTGAAGTCACCTGGGCCACCTGCCCGGGGAAGTGGGCCGAGCCCGAGGGCAAGAACGGGCCCAAGCTCTCCGGCCACTCTGCGTCCTGCCCGTGCCGCCGGGGTCCCGTCTTGGGGGGGGGGGGGGGGGTTGGGCTTCTGTGTCTGCTGGGAGGGGCCTGGGGTGCTGGGAGGGACGCGTGTGTGCCGAGCGAGCATGGCCGCCGTGGCGATCGCGGGGCAAGCGAAGTGGGGCAGCGTCGAGAGGCCGCTGGGAGTTGTGCGGCTGCGCTCGACCTCGTTGGGAGCTGGTGTTCTCCGTCAGCTACCAGTGTTTTCTTCGCACAGAGCTGACGAGGGAGTCTGTGGCCTGGGGGTTCCCCTCAGTGGGCCTCACCGTGGGATTTGCCACGGCAGCTGTTGGGGGGCTGTGGGGGGGAGGCTGGGAGAGCTCTTCATGCTTCATTTTAACAGCATCCTCAGTGGGGGGTCCCTGGATGGCCCCACAGCCCCATGTTCTCATCATTGGTGGGTGGGCGGGTGGCTTGGGGAACCTGTAGAAGTTAAAGTTGACCCACATTAAGATTTTAGCACAGAGGTTTAGGCGGAGCGTCCACGCAGTTGAAGACGTTTCGGGCCTCTGTGGCTTTGGTCTTTATTGATCTTAGCAGCGTGGCCAAGGGTTGTGACGGTCTTCTGTGCCTCTGTGTAGGTCCCTGTGTGGATCGTGTGCCAGGCAGGGCTGAGGACACTGCCTCTGTGACCGACGTCCTGCCCCTGTGGTGAGTGCCTTCTGTTTACAGAACATGTGGCCATTCACATCACCGGACGAGCCCTTCACTGACATCCTTTCCATTTGCTCCTCAGACCCACTGCCCAGCCGCTGTCCTGCCCCTGGAAGTGCAGAGGTGTCGGGAGCTGCCCACCGTCCCAGGACAAACCAGCAGGTGGGAATCGGGGATGGGCCCCCAGGGTCTGGCCTTCGGCCCGGCATTCCCATTTGTTACCCAGCAGTTGCTATGCTGACTGTTGCATTCCTGTCGCGTTGAATTCCCAGCTGCTCTCTGAAGCTGCATTGCTTCAATTTTTGGATCAAGAACTGCTCACCCTGCTCAGCAGACCTTCTTTGGTCTCGAGCAGGTTCGGCAGTTGGTGTGGGCAGATTTATTAGGTGCCCTGCTTGCCACCGGATACGGGTGCCAGCTGCCAGCCGAGCGGTGGACAGCTGCCCTTGTCCCGCTGCAGGCGCTGGCGGGGTGGGCCTGTCCTGGGGACAGCGTTCCGTGGCATTCCTTCCACTCCAGCCTCGCCCTCCCCGCCTCACCCAGAAGCAGAGACGTCTCTGCCCCACATCCAAGGGGGCCCCGCTGGTGAGCTGGCCCTCCTTCGTCCCCACCTTGAGTTAAATCAAGATGAGGGAGGAGGAGCCCGTTTTCCTCGGGGCTGTTACAGGAAGCTCCAGAAGGAGGCGGTTTGGGGCTAAGCCTTGAGGAGGAAGGGATGGTGTGCATGGAGGGCAGGGCAGAGGGCATTCCAGATCATGAAGATTCCACTTTAAAAAAAATATGTTCTTTTAATTGATTTCAGAGAAAAAGGGAGAGGGAGAGAGAGAGAGAGAAGGAGAGAGAGAGGAACATCAATGATGAGAGAGCATCGTGGATCGGCTGCCTCTTGCACATCCCCTATTGGGGATCCAGCTCGCAACCCCGGCATGTGCCCTGACCAGGAATCGAACCTTGACCTCCTGGTTCATAGCTCAACACTCAACCACTGAGCCACACCAGCCGGGCCTGCGTCTGCATTTCAGACACCTTCTCAGTTTGCTTCCTTCCCTTCTAAGTTCTTCCGCCTGGACTGACCACCACATCAACATGAGACAGAGAAACCGGAGAACATGACCAAATGTGTTACATACGTGCACGTGGGTTTCGTAAGAAAAGGGGGCCCGAGGACACCTCCCGGGCAGTCGAGGCCTCCGTGCCCCCTGAGCGAAGGAGGTCGGGGGCGGCTGGGGACTTCAGGAGGCAGGAAGGCGGTTCGCGTGGAGGTAGAAAGGCAACTGTTTGGTAAAGAAATGTTTGCTGGGCCACCCTTGACAGTGGGACACAGGACTTCGACCCCGGGTTCCTCGACGGGCCCTCCCTGCCCCTCACACTGGTCCCCGTGGGCGCGGTGCCTGTGAGGCAGCTGCCCTGCGCAGGCTCCCGTCCGAATTCTGTCAGGCAGTGGCGGGAAGCACCAGGGTTTGGTTTTGTGTTTTTCTTGCGTCTTTTGTTTCTCAAAATAACCAGCATACAACAGTCAGCACCCCAAAAGGCACATCCGGGGGAGCAAACGGTGCTCCCTCAGGATCCGCCAGAGTCCAGACCCGGCTGGAGTCGCTCACGGTTGATCGTGAAGAGTCAGGCTCGGCGCTGGCCGGTGTGGCACAGTGGCTAGAGCATCGCCCGAGCACCAAGGGGCCATGGGTTTGATTCTGGGTCAAGGCCACGCATCCAGGTTGCAGGTCGATCCTCAGCCCTGTCGGGGTACATGTGGGAGGCAACCATCGATGTGTCTCTCTCCCATTGATATGTCTCCCCCCCCCCTTCTACCCCCTCTAAAAATCAATGGGAAAAGTGTCCTCAGGTGAGGAGTAACAAAAACAAAAAATAAAAGAAACACACACACAGAACATGCAGGTTCTTCCTCAGTGGAGCCCGGGAAGGGAGCACCTGCCCCCTGGTTGGAGGTGAGCGTGGGGCTGCGCAGGGCAGAGGGCGCGTTCCTGGGGCTGGAGGCGCTCCGGGAGGGGCGGGAGGGGCCGGAGGGGCCGAGAGGAGCCGGAGAGGAGCCAGCGGGTCGGTGGAGGCCTCTCGCCTGGAGCCGGCCAGGACATTCCTGCAGGCCCTGGGGTGTGGCCGCGAGGAACACTCTGGAGGAGCAACTGCTGAGCTGGACAGCCAGCCCCGCCCCACCCGCCCCTGCTGGGGCCCCACAGAGGCCCAAGGACGGGGCTCTGGCTGAGGCCACCCCGCAGGCCCCCCGCCCTCGCTGGGCTGAGTGCAGATCGAATGAGATCACCATCCCAGGCCGCCCGCGAGGCTCCTCCTCGTCCTCTTTTGGAAGCCCTGTTCCTGCCCCGAACGTTGGACGCGCGCCTTCGGAAAATATTTGTAAAGCCCCGTGGGTTGGGGGGCCAAGCCCTGCAGCGTGGAGAGACCCTCACAGCTTCAATCACCGGGCTTCGGGCTGCCCCTTCCCCGGGGGTGACCGCACGGCCATGTCGGGCTCGGGTGTAAAGAAGCATGAGCCGCGGACTGCCACCTTCAGAGAGGGACCCTCATGTTCCCCCCGGTCCCCACCTCTCGCCGTCCTGGCCCTCCCCTCCAACAGAAAGTGGCCCTAAACGCTGGCCCTCGAGTGGAGACCAAGTGGCACAGAGACCAGCTGCTGCTCCTGCCCCTGTGTCCAGGGAAGGTGCCCCCGAAGGGCGGACAGACATTCAGACGTTCGGACTGACTCCCGGGCGGCAGGAGCCATCTCATGCTCTGGGCTCGGCTTCTGCTGCAGACCCTGCGCTGGAGCTTTAGTTTATAAACGCCACCATTTCCCCTGTTATTACCGCCTTCTTGGCTTCTCGGGGTAACAGGATTCTTTCTGAGCTTTAAAAAGTACGTTCTCTTGGCTCTGGGCGTTCCACGTAGGAACATGAGACCTCGCTCTCACTGTGAGGGTTTTCAGATTCGAGGCGTCTTTCAGGGCGAGTATAGGAGGCCGCATGCGATTTAGACAAACCCCCAAATACCTGTAAGAGCAGCCCCGTGCAATACTTTGGATATACTTTCCCACCCCCGCCCCCAATTATTAGCTGTTTATCTGAAATTCAGGTTTCACTGGACATCTGTATGTTTCCTCGCTACATGTGACAGTGCAGTTTAGACATGGATGCCTTAAGTTAGATTTGAGAGTTGCTTGTCTTCTGAGTAGATGTCCCAAAGGGGTCTGGTTTGCTTGTCACTGGCAAGAGGACTTCCCATGCCCGTTGGGTGCGGACGGGTGGCCAGGGACCAGAGAGCAGGCAGGAGACCTGCAGGGGCCTGTGTGTCAGAGCGGCAGGCCCGCCCAGCGAGGCCCGGAGCAGGGTGTCTGGAGCGCGCCCCTCCCTGTGGGCCTCGAGGAGACGGCCTCGTGGTGGGCGCGCTCAGTGTCCGCATGACCTGGTTGTGAGCAGAGATGCAAGTACCGGCCTCCATATGAGTCATGGGCAGGCGTGACTCCCGTCCTCACAAGTGGGTCTTCGGGTGAGGAGTTCCCATCGTACAAGCAAATGTGGAAGAGACGATCCCAGGGCGCACTCGGAGGAAACAGTGAGGAGGCCACGTCTCCGACGATAGGCCGGCTGGCGAGTTCCGGGAGGCGTGAGGTGCTGGCCAACCGGCAGATCCTCGGAGCTGATGGGGAGGGGAGCAGAAACAGACCCCGTACCCCCAGAGGGTCTCCCCTGCGCGGGAGTGGCCGCCAGACTAGGCAGAAGGGAAGACCCGCCGTGAACAGGCCTGGGAGAGCCGGTCAACCAGGTGGGGTGGGGGGCAATCCTCTCCTGCCCGCCAGCGTGGGCGTGAGCGCAGTACAGAATTTGGACAAGAAATCGGAGCAAGATGGATGCTGCTTCGTCACCTGGATGGAGGGTGAAGGCAGTGGCCAAGCTTCAAGCTTCAGAAGGTGACCTGCAGGGAAAAGTTCAGGAAGGCGACCCCATGGACCTCCGCTTCTGAGAACCAACCAGAAATCTAAAGGCAAACACTGCGGGAACAAACAGACAATGAGATCTAAAGACAAACACGGTGGGAATGTGTTCGCTGCAGATATGACCCCACTGGGTTCCTGCCACGCTGCGAGCTGTCCCTGGGGGAGTCGGGGAGCGTTTGGGGGTGCTCCCTCCCCGGTAGGTCCTGCTTGGGGCTTCATGTTAGAGAGAGCCCCTCCCAGCCATCCCTAGGTCAGGGCCCCCCCCGCAGCTGAGAAGCGCCCACCTCCCCCCGGGCATGTGAGACCCGCGGTGGGAGCCTGGGTGAGGCCAGAGGAGTCCCGGGAAGAGCCTCCACCTCGGATACTAGGAAACGGCTGTTGACTCGGGCAGGGGTGGGGGGTGGGGGTTGGGCGGGCGCGGTGAGCTGGGAAGATGGCACAGTGTGTGTCTGGACGCTGGAAAAACACACCAGTGACCTTTGGCCTGGCATTCTACTTCGAGGGATCCGAAGCCAATCACCGGGAAGGAGGGCAAGGTTGTGTGCACAGAGGCTGCTGTGGATGTTAGTGATGCTCCTGAGATTTGCAGAAGACCAGTGTGTCCACCAGACAAGGCCAGGCTCTGAGAACCAGTCAGCAAGGTTGTCAGTTCACCTCTCGTCATGTTCCTGGGGGCGGGGGGAGGGTCGCAAAACACACAACCTTGTTCGCTCGGGTGCTCAGCTGCCCCCGGTTGTAGGACTTAGGCTGGTGTGTCTTGTCTTTCAGCTCTTTATTTCCAAACATGCCAACAGGCTGTTGTAGAATTTGGAAGAGAGGGAACTGTGGTGGGCAGAGAAGCATTGGCTGTGAAATGGTGGGAACTTGGTTGGGGAGAGTCCCATGAGGAGACCCACTGGATTGGGGGGGGGGGCTGGCAGGAACGTCCCCCTCCACCAGCTGTGCTGGCCCAGCCCCTGTGCGGCCCCTCGGCCGGGGCTCTTGGCGGCATCCCCCCTCCTCTCAGACCCCACATGCTCCAAGCCCGCCCCTCTCTCCTTCCCTCCTCAGACGTGTTCTGGGTGCCCTGTGTTCCACAACAGAGTGTTGATGAAAGGAGGTGCACGTGCACACACACTGGGGGGGGGGGGGCATGTGGGAGCGGTAGGGGTGCTGACAGAGGCGTGGAGCGGCGGAGGATTCCAGAAAGCAGGGTCCTTTGTAACCCCATGTGACTCAAACATCTCATGTACTCGCCACAGGTACTTCAGATATCGCACGTGCACACGCACACACGTGCGCACACACATGCTCACACTCACACGTGTGCACACGCACGCGCACTCACACACACCATGCATTTGTTTTTCTCTGAAGGAACAGGCTCAACCAACAGGACATGTGTCAAGAAGTTCCCTTTAGTTTTTCCTTTACTCGTTAACATCTGCATGTGCATGACTGGCCGGTCCGACAGCCATGATTGCAGACGCTCAGAAAGCTGTCCCTCTGGAGGCAGAGCCCAGGGGGGCGGCAGCTCCCGGTGCCGAGGGCTGCGGTGGTGCCCCCGGTGCGCCGAGGAAGCTGCATGCGGCTGTGCCCGGCAGCCAGGGTCCCCTTCTTCCACGTGCCCCCGCCAGTCCCACGCCCATCTCCCCGCAGGTGGTGGTCTCCCGCGGAGCAGACTTCCCACTGTTCCCTTCTGCGCTCGAGCTGGCGAAGGCTCTGGACCCAGACCCATCCGCTCCCCGGGGACTGCTTCGGCTGACACCGCGTCTTGTCAGAATAACTCCTTTTTTCAGCTCCCGGGGCGGCGTGGGTGGGAGGAGTGGGGATTCTGAGGCCGGCTGCCCGGGTTCCAACTGCAGGGCTGCCCCTCGCCGGCTGGGTGCCATTGGGGGAGGGGGCGGAACCTCCTGGGCCTCAGGCCCGTCGGTACCACGGGAGCCCAGCCTGGCACCACGGGGCACAGTCCACCTGTGGCAGGTTCCTGAGCACGGGCAGGGGCGGGGCGGCTGGGGGAGCGTCCTGCTCTGTGGTGGCACTGTCGGCGTAAGAAACATCTAGATCTGTAGAGAATGGCATGAGCTTCTTTGGGCCAGACTGGCGATATCGCCAGGAAGCAAAGTCTTAGCAGATCCAGAGGAGGGCCGCCTCAGCGTCTTTTGTACACTTGAGACTCAACGCAGGAGGCATCAGGGGGTGTAGGTGGAAGTCCATCAGTGGCAGGTGCAGAGGCGGGAGGAAGTAGCGCGGGTGGGGGCGATCTCTGGGACTAGATCGGAGGCAACCCCGAGGACACCCCCTCTCTGCGCTGGTGTGCAGGCGAGCAGGAGAGCAGGCCAGCAGCGCCAGCAAATGGAGATGGTATTCAGGAGACAAGAGAGCAGTGAGGGGTTCTGTGGCCTCGCGCTCTGGTGCCGGAGGCTGTGCCCTGAGCGGCCGGGAGAAGAAGAGTACTCTGACATTTTTTTACAGGTACGTTATCTTAGGCGCACAAAGCCGATTTCACAGGGAAAAGCCGGCCTTGGTCAAGGAAGCGACATGCCTAGGGTGAGCGTGCTTGCTTCTGGTCAGGGGCTCTGCGGTCAGACCATCCTCCGTGGTGGCCTTGGTCTCTGAGTGCATAGGGCCCACCACGCTGGCCTCCCCGAGCTCGTCAGGTTAGCCCCTGGCCCCTTCTCCCCCCTCGCACGCACGAGGAGGAGGAATAGTTGAGTCTCAGTGAGCACCAAATCCAAGGATTCCTGAAATCCGTGAGAGCAAATTGGTCCCCCCACCCCGCCCACGCTAGTTCCTGCTGGCCTGGTGCCCACGGAAAGGCCCCATTCGGTTTGCTGCCATTTCGATGCCTCTTTCATTGGCTTCGTGGTAACCCCACGAAGAGTCTCTCCTAGAGCTCTGGGCTTGGTGCTCCCATTGCGTCCTCACACCAAGATCCCAAAGATGCCAGTGAGCGCCTCACGCTCTCGGAGGGGGGCCAGTGAGCCACCCTCGTGCTGGTCCCCGGGAGCAGGCCGCCTGGGCCCTAAGGGCCAGCCATGGTGACAGAAAACGTGTCCGTGCTCTGTGGAAGGCTGTGTCTGTCCGTTGCTAAAACCCAGCCGTTGACCATAATTCTTCTCGAATGTCTGTGGGGAGAGGGCTTTTAAGTCCCCAAGCCCGGAGGGGCTGTCCCTCTCCCGCCCCTGGCATCAGGGTGCGCCTTCCACAGGGTGACTGCTTCTGCTCTGGCAAATCTCCACACCTGTCCTCAGAGAGTTCACGAGCTCAGCCCGGGGAGGAAGCGGGGGGTCCAGGAGACAGGGCACGCGGGATGGGGGGCCTCGCAGGTGTGCCGCCCTCTAACCGCGCCCTCTGCCCCTGTTTCCTGCAGGAACGGGAGGAGCAGCCATCTCCTCGCAGCCCATCTGACCCCCCTGTGCCCGGCCCCCTGGCCCAGGCTGAACAGCGCGAGCAGCGCCCAGGTAAGGACACGCAAACGGGTGGCGGCCCTGTCGCCTGACGCCAGCGTCGCCAGGATGCTGGGACTTGGTGTTCTGAGAAACGGCTCTTCTTGCGAATACAAGGAGATGCTCACCTTCCCCCCCGGGAGGGCACAAGCCTAAGCAGGAGAGGCGTGCATGGCTGCGGCCTCTTTGTAGAGTGCCCTTTGGCGAACGGGGTTCCCCAGATTGCCCCCCACCTCCCCGAGAGGCCACTGGCTCCTGGTCCCGGCTGGCTGTGTCTGCACCCAGCCCGCGTCTGCCTGTGTCCCCCTGGCAGCCCTCTGCCGTTCGGTGGTTCCTTCTGTTCCTTCCAGCTCATTCCTGCTGGGGTCCTGGGGGAAGGAACGAATGACACGGACAGGGTCAAGGGGTGGGACATTGGGACTGTCGGCTGCAGACTCTGACGGGGACCGGAGCCCGAGGAGGGAGCTGGCAGACCCGAGCCGAGACGGAACAGGAGGATGAGGACAGCTGGCTGTTCGAACACTTGGAGAGTTTAAGGGCAAAGAATGGAAGGATTGGGACTGGTGGGCTGAGAATTAGATTTTTTAAAATATATTTTTATTGATTTCGGAGAGGAAGGGTGAGGGAGAGAGAGATACTAACATCCACGATGAGAGAATCATCCATTGGCTGCCTCCTGTGCGCCTCCCTCTGGGGATCGAGCCCACAACCCAGGCAGGTGCCCTGACCGGGAATGGAACTGAGCCTGGTTCATAGGTCGACGCTCAACCACTGAGCCTCGCTGGGCAGGTGAAAAGAGTTAGATTTTTAAATGGCTGAATGAGAAAGAGGGTGGCACTGGGCAGACCTGGGAGCTGGAGCTGCCCAGGCCTCGGGTTCGCCAGGGGCTGGGGAGCGCGCCCTCGTCCAAGCGCTTGGGGTTCCGGCCGCGCAGCTTGGGGGTCACCCTCCAGAAGGGTTTCAAGTGAGGTGATGTGCGGGAAACGGTCCCAATTTGTTGCCATTGGCCTTGAAGCCGAGGAAATTTGTAATTCGTGGCATTTCACTGCTTACAAACGGTCTCGTTTAAACGAAAATCATCTAAGTGTCGTGTTCCTGTTCGTGTGAAATCTGTGTTCAGACTTTAACCACAAAGTTAGAGAAAATGATGCTGAATGGACTTCCCACAGCTTCTCCTCCGGGGCCTCTAAGTCGGACCTTGACAAAGCGCACGGACGCCACGCCCTGGGGGCGGGGAAGCGGGTGGCACAGAGGAGGGCTGGGCCTCGTGGGAGGGCGCTGGCTGTGCCCCGGTTGGCTGTCCAGATGCGGGATTCTCCAGTGCAGGGCGAAATGGCTCCGCTGGGGCTCTGCCCGCAGTGTGAGGGGCCCAGATGGAGAGACACGAGTCCTGGCAGTCTTCTCCGACGGGGTTACTAGGTGTGCTTCAAGAAGAGAAGCGAGCATGTGCCGGGGGAGGGCTGTGGGTGTTCAGGGCCGAGTGCACCCTAAACATAAGCTTCAGCCGGAACTTGGGGTGACTGGGCATTGGGGATGTACGGTGTCTTTCGAGAGAGGGGTGTGTTCCATGGGTGGTTAAGTCACAGCAGGATCCCAGTGAGGAGGAGAACATAAAGTCACTTGTTCCTGCATTTGGGGGAAAAGTGTGCTTGCTTATGTGTTTCAAGGAGCAAGGTGTACCCCAAACATGGACTGCGACCACTGAAGAATATGCATGTCATCTCTAGTCTCCAACCTCGCAGGAAAAAGAGAAGGGAACCTCTATTTAATGGAAACGCCAACATCAAGCAGAAAAGGAAGAAAAACAAGATGTGGGGGGAAAAGGATGTCAAATAAGATGCTCAGAAGGGTCCCAAGGAGCCCAGAGCTGACAGCTGGAAGGACAAGAGGTACCTGGAACCTGCACCCAACACACAGACCCTGGGTGCTCTTCTGAAACCTGCAACTTTTCAAAAAGTTGACCATATATGGAAAGTTGCGCTAAATTTTAAGCAATCCGTTTCATGCAAGCCACGGTCTTTGACCCAGTGCAATTAACCCCGAAGTCCACAGGAAGAGTTCAGAGACGTCAGCAGGCACTGTAGTGCACACCCTCGCTCACGCTGGGGCTGGAGAGGAATTCAGGGAAGCGTGGTTCCTGGGAAAGGCACGGGAGAGGGGCGGGTACAGGTGGGAAGTCGCGCCCTGCTGGTTGCAGAGCTCAAGACTGTCTGAGCTTTGAAAGAAAGTGAAAAACTGAAAGGAGAAGATGAAAGACTCCAGGGAGGGGAAGCAAGGAGTTAGCAAGATGAAGGTCAGACATTACGGAGACGATGAAGGCAGTACCGATGGACAGGAACCCGCTCGGAAGCCGGCCTCGGGCGCAGGCGGACACGGGGCCAGAAGGAAGACCGAAACCACGCGGAGCACATCGAGAGGCCCGGCATCGAGACCCCGCAGCTGCCGGCGAACAGCACGTGGCCCACGGCCGGGAAAACGGGAGGGCATGGCCGCCGCACTACAAAAATACAGAAACGGCACTGCACCGGCGCTGGCGAGGGCGTGGGCCGCGCAATGCCAGGCTTCGCAGTGGGAACGCCACCCGGTGCAGCCTCCGTGGGAGACGGCTTGGCAGTTCCTCACACGACGAGACCCAGTGTCGCTGCAGGACCCAGCAGGCGTGCTGGGTGGAGTGCGCCCTCGGAGCTGGGCCTGTAGGTCACACCCCCGCACGTGGGAACAGCGGGGAAGCCCTGGGGGAGGGCGGGGGGCCGGTGAACGGGGTCCACGCGGACGTCGTGTGGTGCAGAGCGGAGCTGAACCGCACACAGGCCTGGAGGAACCTGCGTGCACGGCGCTCAGTGAGAGGCGGTGTTGAAGGCCGCCTGCCGGGGATTCCGACTCTGTGACCTGGGAGAGGCACAGCGACGGGGACAGCAGAGGGACCGGAGGTTTGGGGGCGAGGGATGGGCCTAGAGCAGAGGGAACGTCCGCAGCAGAGATAGCACGGGACAGAGGCCCGGCCCCGCGTCCGTCCTCCCTCTGCGTCCTCCCCGCCCTGGTGTCTGTGGTGGGCCAGCTGGGGCGCCCTCCTCCCGGCTCCCCACGCCCACCCTCACCCTCGTGTGCCCGACACCCAGTTCAAGCTCGGGGCCTTCTCACCTAGACACTTGGGGCGCGGGCGGCGTTGGGCAAAGATGAGGGGCTGCTCTGCCGCCCGAACGTCCGAGCGTCGCCCGGTGCGGATGACAGACCCTCGCGGTGCCACGGCTCGGACGGAGAGCCGCCCGCTCCTGCCAGGGGCCTGATGCGCAGAGTGGAAGTCTCCGGGGACTCCTCCCCGCGCTCCCCTGGGCAGAGGCAGTTCTCTGGTGGCTCCCGAGTCCTCGCTGACAGTCGTTACGGGGACAGACCATCCGTAACGTGAAATGACCCAGCCAGGCGCGCAGCGAGGGAACCCGCCTGCCCCGGCCCCTTACCTCATGGCGGTGGAATCCCACGTGTGTCCCTTCGTGCCTGGCTTGCTTCACGGAGCCCAGCGTTTCCAGGGCTCGTCCTGGTGGCAGGAGGTGGCAGGGTTTCCGCCCTTTTACGGCTGGGCGTCGCCTGCTGCACGTGTAGACTGCTCTCGGCTTCTCCATCCGGCTGCCAGCCAGCCCCGGGGTTGCTTCCCCCTTCTTGCTCCTGTGAAGAGCACGGCTGCGAGCGTGGGGGTGCAGACACCTGCCCGAACCCCTGCTCGCTGTTCCTGTGTGTCCATCTTATACCTAGGACTGGAGTTGCCGATAACAGCGATCCCGTGTAGCCTTTTCTCGACGATGCTTTTGCGATGTGACGTCTCAGAGAATCGTGATTTCTAGTTTTATTTTTATTTTTTGTTTTGTTACTCCTCACCCGAGGGTATTTTTCCATTGTTTTTTTAGAGAGCGTGAAAGGGGAGAAAGAAACATCGATGTGAGAGAGACACATTGATTGGTTACCTCCCACATGTGCCCCAACTAGGGACAGGGATCGAGCCTGCAACCGAGGTACATGCCCTTGACCGGGTGAGCCCAGGACCCTTCGGTCCACAGGCCGACTCTCAGTCCTCTGAGCCACCCCAGCTATGGCGAGAATTGTGGTTTTTAAACCAGCTGTTTCTGAGGGTTACCCTTGCTCTCCAGACACAGGAGGTGCACAGGGAGCTGAGGGAGGTTTAGGTCCAGGCATAGCAGTCGCTGTGGTCTGCAGGCGGGTTCCCTGTGACTAGGTCCCGCGTGGAGTTCTCCTCACAGAGCAGCTCCCGTGCTGCGCTGCCCCGGCTTCGGGGCGCACGCCCAGCTGCAGCTGCGGCACCGCCCCTGGCCCAGGCCCCTGCTGGACCTGAGTGTCCACAGCCCTGGCCAGCCGCCCTGCTTTCGTCTCTCCTCTCGGTCTGTAAGCCACAGGGGTTGGTTCTGAGCATGTAGTCGCCATGTGCAGAACTGTGCTGGGCGGCTGCTTTCCTTCCAGTCACAGCTCAAGTGTGCAAAGAGGGGGACCCTCTCGGGAGCCCCGGTGTCTCATGGGTCAGTCTGTTTGCCAAGTGGCAAGAAAAGACTAAAACAGAAAAGACCCAGTGAGCAGAGAAGGCGGGAGCGGCGAGGAAGGCGGTTTGTTCGGGCTCTTCCCTTTCGGTGCCGTCTGTGTGTCCTGGGATGTTGGTGGCAGCCAGGCCCCGGGCCGGCCACCCTCCCTGTCCCTCCGTTCTAGCAGCGAGCACCCTGGGATGTGGGCGACGCAGTGACCACCTGCTGCCCAGACTGCCCTATGTGTGCCCTTCTTGCACAATCCTTGTGAGAAATGATGCCCGTGAGGGCGGTGATGACTTGGCGTCCTCGCTGAATTCGCCTGCATGCCTTCTCTTTGTCTACTTAGTCCTCTGAGCTACAGATAGGGAAACCGAGGCAGGGAAGCTCAGTGACTGCTCAGGAGTCACCGGGGAGCATTGGGGTCAAAGCCACGCCCCTCCGGCCGCACACGCAGCGGCGATTTAGGGAAACGCCTCGCCGGCCCGT